GAGACAGCTGCAGTGTTACTGTTTTGCATGGGAAAGTAAACAGAAAAGGTGTCGGAGAAGAGAGTAAGAGCATGTGGTTGCAACTGAGGCTTGTGAAGCACACTTCCCATTTGGAGGTGTTGTGCATTGCTCGATAGCAGCTGTGGCCAAGGTTTTGTTTCACCTGTTTTCTCTGATTCGTGCATGGGAGGAAGTCTATATCCCTTGTCCTGTTTTCCATTGATGAATCAAAGCAATGTACTCTAAGGCCATACTTTATGCTGTGCTTCATTCAGTGCAGTTGTTGAGCCTGTGTTCGGGGCTGCTAGGGTTCATTATGTCTGTAAATTACTTTCAACTCAGTTTAAAGCACTGATTTGTCTTATAAAACATGATACGTAGTGTCTGTATCCTTGAGAATCTGTTCACCTCTCTACCCACCATGAATTTGTTTCAGTAACAGACATGGTTTGGACTGAAAGCAGGAGACTAAATTCAAGTATTTGTTTCTGGACCTTATCCCAGCTTTTAGCTACACCCACTTTGGATATGTTCCTTTCTGGGCATTTTGTGAAGAACACCTTGTATGCAGGCTGTTGGATGCTTCTGACTTTGTCTCAATCCAAGATCAAAATCTAATTTCTTTCACTTCTCAGTAACTGCTGAGTATAACAATTTGAAGGCCCAATTTAGGCTCTATTGAAAGTAAGATTTCTTTATTGGCAGTTTTACAGGAGTTGCAAAAATTGTTAAATAAAAGCCAGCATAGATATAAAAATAAGCATGACTGAAGTGTATAACAAAAAAAAAAAAAAAAGGTTTTGTCAACCTGTTCCTAACACAATATTGCAAAATATGCCTTAAAAATCTTGTACTGTACAAAATGTCATACCTTACTCTCCTTGTGAAGTTCAACGTTTCTGTCTGCGGGTATTTCTGAGGATTCAGTGGATATAATCCATGAGTTCTAGTGGGTGACTGTGGATGTCTCACTGAGGAATTACGAAGCTTCACATCCTGGCTGAAGTACTTTAAACTAGTAATAGTATTGTAAGACACAGACAGTTCGGAAGTGGTTGATATTAATATGTTGGAGTCTTCTTGTAGTTCTAGCTTTATCTTTGAAGATTGGTATCACATTAGCAAATAAATGGTGCTTTGACTTTTTTTTTTTTTTTTTTGCATTTCAGTTGTGAATTAAGTATCTTTGATCAAATTAGCTTTCATTCAGCAGTTTTTTTGGAGAATGGCCTGATTGGTCTAGATTCAAGTAGGTTCATTGATTCTTGTGGTCTGGAAGCTTAGGAGCAGGACTCTTAGACGTGACTTCTCAAAGAAGATGGGTTCCCATGTAAGACATCGTTGTAACGATCCAACCTTCTTTTTCAGTCAGTTGGGACAGTGTCAGCTGCTAGTGTGGGAAGCCAGTCAAATTGTTTTATCCTTTCCTTTTCCATCTTTGGCCACCTGACATGCAAAGCTTCCAGCAATTTTATTCTGGTGGGTAGTCAAGTTTTTCACGCCAGGCAGCAGGAGCCTGGCAGCATACAAACCTTTGAGGGCTAGATGGGGAAAGCTTGACTGTCAGGAATGCTTTCTCCACCGAACTGCGTTATTTCAAGTAGTGATGCTATATTTGTCTCACCAGGTCCCTGGAATCTGCCACTTTGGCTAGGTCTCTTTGACAGAAGTCAGGTTGAGGTTCTGACATGTTTGAAGTTACTTGTATTCATTCATTCTTTCATGTTGACTCACATTATCTCAACTTTTTCATGTTCTACTTGCCAAAATCCAAACTAGATAAAATATATATGCTATACAACATTTTGTAGTGGTCTCACTCACCAGAATAGTTGGCTGCTCGTTTAACTTTTAATTTTCAATCAGAATGTTCAGGGCTGTGCTTTAGTCCTGTTGAGTTCCCCAAGGCAATTCTAAAAATGCTTTAAGTTAATTATATTTTTAAATGCTACATTGACTTGGAGATTTACAAACAAGTAGTTGGAGAAGAGACCAGAGGCAAAATAAATGAAGATGCGGGGCATAGTGGAGGTTTATTTGTTAGTGCTGATTTGAGGAGGAATTCCAATTGTCTGCATTTTACTTTCATTTGTCTGAAGAGAGGGGAATTCTTCACTGATGTGGACTTCTGGCACTTGAGAAGTTTGTGTTCTGAAGGCTGATAATTGTATAAGGATCATCCAGCAGACAGGTATTTACTCATAGCTCAGATGACAATGCTTTGAGCTCCTAGGCAGATAGCTGGATAAAATTTTGTATGTGCGATACATAATGCAAAGTAGTATAATGTGGCCTAGTCCTCAAAAAAAAAAAAAAAAGATAAAATGAAAACATTCATTACATAATTAAAATGCATAGCAAATCAATTAGGTATGAATATTGTATGTTAACCTTAAAGTGTGAGCTAAAAGAGTTGCGATGAAAACCATTCTTGTATCAAAATAATTTAAAAGCACAAGTCTTAAATGTAAGGCTTTGCCTCACAGAATACACACCTGTTCTGCTGATCTTCTGTCATATCCATTTTGTTTCTTTTAGATCTATGAGTAATCATCAGTAATGTGGGGAAGGAGAATCAGCATCCCCTATCATGCATACTAACTTAAATGAACATCAATGAAACAATTAACACTGATGCTCAACCTGGCACCTTTAGGTGGCTGATTGAATGCCCCTGTGGGGGTGAAGCAGTGTTTTTTCAGAACCCTCATAGCTATTGCTTCAGCTGATCTACTTAGCCCTGAGGGAGGGGGATGGATTGTGTTAATCAGACAGCAGAAACTTCCATACGTGTATGAACAGGAGTTTTGCTACTGATTCGTGAGTTGATGCCCTAAGAAAGACAAGCTGGAAGTTTGGGGAAGCAACATCATTGCAGTGAATTATTCTTCTTCTTCCTAGCCATAAGAATATAATTATTTCTATATGCAGGAGTATGGAGAGAAAAAGTATTTTCAGCTTGGAAAACAAAAAAAGCAGTTAATGGTTTACTCTTAATTGAAGCTTAAAATCTTCCCCAGGTATTAATTTTCAATACATTCTGTGTAGTGGCTCTCTCTTCTCCATAAATAATTCAGTTGACAATGGGGAGTATTGCAGTTCTTCATATAATGTTGCTTGGATTATAGGGTCAGGTTAGCTCAGGGACAGTTGATTGGTCTAAGTGTATCAGTTCAAGCAGCTCTGCCGTGAGGACATAAACTGGCACCTCTTGAGTTTGTGCCCACTCCTCTGTTTCTCAGGAATTCCACAGTTCAATATTTAAGCTGTCTGCTTTAAAACAGTCAGAAAGTGCAAAGTCTTACCTATGAGTACACTAGGAAGGACAAGGCAGAACATCCAGACTGCTCTGGGGAGTACTGGTATAAGGTTGACTGAATTCACATGGCAGCACAATACTTCAGAGGTTTGAGATCAGGCACAGGTGGGTTCTGCTGGGGACCTGGGAAATAAGTAGGTTCAGGTTAATTAAAAGACTCAAAGTGATGACTGTGTCTCTTTTTCCAAACTTGTTATGCCTGCTGTTATTTAAGCAGGGCTCTGAACTGTTCCCTCTTGTCACTGAACATGACAGCGTACCCCAGAATACCATCAATCCCCAAATAATGGGAGCACTCTTGTCTCCTTTCTGATAAGAGATGGGAGTCAGAAAGTAGAGTTCTGCCTCCAGCCTCCTCCATGATGGTGGGGAAGTTGCAAAGTTCAAAGCTTCCAAAAAATTTGCTAAAAGTAATACTTGGAGGCGGGGGGCAGGTAGAGCATTGGTGTAATGACATAGCTGTGAGATGCACAGTGATATATGACTTGGGAGCTCACTGCCAGTGCTGGTGGGAAATCATAGAATCATTAGGGTTGGAAGAGACCTCCAAGATCACCTGGTCCGACCATTCCCCTACCACCCATGTCACCCACTAAACCATGTCCCTAAGCGCGATGTTCAACCTTTCCTTGAACACCCCTGGGGATGTTGACACCACCATCTCCCTGGACAACCCATCCCAATGCCTGGCTGCTCTTTCTGAGTACTGAACACAGTACTCAAGGTGTGGCCTCCCCAGAACGGAGTACAAGGGGAGAGTCACCTCCCTGGTTCTGCTGGCCTAAGTGCATTTATTAAGGCATTTGTTTACATTTGAAAAAGCTGTGAGCCTTGGCAGAGCTGCTGGGCTCTTGGCTTTGTTGAAAATTGGTGGGATGATGCCTGAACATGGAGATGGTTCCTGATGTTGAAAAAAAAACCAACAAAACTACCACTGTTTAATAACTCAGTGTTCCTGCTCTGTAAATTAAGAAGGTATGAATATTTCCTGAGAGAAATGTTGCATCATTAATATCTGTAAAGCTCTTCTGTATGAAATATTCTTGTCTTTTTATATTTAGTGCTGCATAACAGGGACTTCTGTATGTGGGGGTGGTGGCTTTCCCTGGGGGCAGCAGCCCAGGAGCTCTCCGGTTGGAGGTGTGATGCCAGCGTGACAGGGCCTTGAAGGCCATTGCCCTGCTTCTCCTAGGTGCCTCAGAAGAGGCAATTTTGATCCTCTCAGCTGTTGACAATGATGTTAATGCTGCATAGGCTTGGCTGGTCTGTCAGCCCACGTGAAATATCCTGAATAGGAAATTCGTGGTTACATGTCTTGTAAAACACAGTCAAGTTGGATGTGGAGCGCTGAGCTCTAAGCACAGTAAAGTGTTGTGTAATGTTCTGCAGCATTTCTCAAACTCTGTCTGAAACTTTGGATGCAGAGAGCAAAGGGTGCAGCTTTATTCCCACTTTTGAGTCCTGGCCTCAGTGATATGCCCAGTCTTGCGGCTTGGGATGTGTCCATAAGCCTGTAGATCTTTAATTTGCCAGTTGCTTGCAGACATTTCTGTTTTGCCATTCTACCTTTCTTTTTTTTTTTTTTTCTTTTCTTGGGAGATAGGTGAACGTTTTATCAGCAATTTTTCATGTTGTGAATTTAAGCTTTTGAATTTTTATTTTGTTTGTTTGTTTATTGCAGCTGGTGCTCAGGATAAAATTGGCTGGGCATTTGGCTTGGGTTTGGAGAGGCTGGCCATGATCCTGTATGATATTCCTGACATCCGACTGTTCTGGAGTGAAGATGAACGCTTCCTGAAGCAGTTTATTGTGCCTCACATTTGCCAAAAAATAAAATTTCAGGTAAAGTAATGTGTATGTGAAAACAATTTTCCATAGGTAAGAAGTGCGGGTAGCCCTAGAGAATATCATACAATTAAAATTCTGTGCCATTAACAAATTAGGTTTTAAAGAAACAGCTTTCCAACTATCATGATTCTCTCATAAACTGCAAAAAAAAAAAAAAAAAAAAGGCTTTTTATAACGTTTTTTCAGCCAGATAATGTTCTGAGTTGCTGCTGATACTCAGTGAATATCTCTGTTCTGAGTAATAAATAAGCCTGTATTTAAAATGTAAATCTGTCCAGAATGGAGATTGATTTAGGCCTGTGACTGAACTGGGTGTATTCTTGAATTGGGGCTGTAATTCTGTATCATTATGAAAACCTGTTTGATGCCAACCTTTCAAATATTGTAATACATTCCCAATAACCCCCTTTTGTTTTCACCCTGTGTTCATTGAAGTCATCGTGAGTTGCGCTGTTCAACATTGGCAAAATGCTTTGTGAACACGCACCAATGTCTTCAGTACGTTGGCTCTTTCCTTCAAGTGCTAGTGGGGGAAGAGTGCAGGTTCAACTTCTGTTTCTTTTGTAACTCCTCTCCTGAGGCTTCACTTGCTTTCAGAGCTGGCAACTTATCTTCCTTCTTGTAGTAGCAAAGTAATCAAGCAAAACTGGATTGAGTGGAAGTGTTACTTCCATAATGTTCTTCTGTGTCATCGCAGGAAGGCTAAAGTCAGCTGTTATCACCCATCTTTGGGAGAGTTGAGCTGACAGCTGTGTAGATGTCTGATAACATCTGAAGTACTAAAGCATCAGAATGCATATTGCTGCTGCCTTTTACCATTTTCCTTGCTTTGTGAACAGCTTGAATATGTTTTTTAACAATTGAAAATATAAAAGGGGAAATCAACAGTGATAATGCTGAGACGGTATTTGAGCAGTCTCTACATCAAATCAATAGCAGCATCCATTTTTGAGTTCATAGCAGTGCTGGCACATCTTCTCTGATAGAGTCAGAATGTTGTTTGAGTAGATTTTCTTTGTGCTTTTTGCTTTTGTGATGCTGATAATAGGGCAGTCAGATTGTAGTTGTCACTTACAGAAAGAAGGCAGATTTTGCCACGTTTCTTGAAGGTGGGTCTGTCTGTAGGTTTCACACATCTTCTACAGAATGTTGTTCTTTTCAACAAGGGATGCTCAAGTGTCCTTCATTTCGGCCTGTGTCTTTCTGGTTGTCATTGCTCCTGGGAAACATGGATTGTGGCTTGGTTTATAGATTACAGTCTGATCTCTGATGGAACTAAAATGAGATTTCTTGCTTCCTTTAAAATTGAAGATCCAAGTCTCAACCTAATATTAATGGTAGATCGGGTATTTGGGAGAAGGCCCAGATTGTCAGGATGACATGATCTGATGTTGAAGGTAAGCCAGAGAGAGTACTGAGTGGCTGCTTCTTTAGGTTGTGTATCATTTTCATGTTCAGCTTCAGATAAAGTCAGGAGTAGTGAACCGATCTGAAGGTAACAGGGGCGTAGGTTACTATGGTAAACTCAGAGGAAAGAGCAGCTTTTAGGAAGCTAAAGGTGATAGAAATGTTCTTCTTTTCTTTCTTTCCCTCCCTCCCTTCCTTCCTATTTTTTTCCACTTGCTGCTGTTTGGTAACATTAGCTGAGCAGCATGTGGTTTTTCACTTTTTTGCTTTTTAACTGGATCATCAACAGGAGGGTGGTGACAAGGTCTTTAAGCATTTCTTTTTGCTGAGCAGGGCTGTTTTCAACTGGCATTGGTTCAACTTGGAATGAGGAGAGAAGTTCTACATCCTAGAAATCTGATTATTTGATGTTGTAAAGATAGCCATGAAATTGAACCTTGTTGGTTGAAATACACTTTGAAGTAATAACATGACTCAGGAGATGTGATGCAGTTCCTTCAAGTAAAAGGAGTTATCAGTTGCAACTGTGCTCTAACTTGGTCCATAGAGAAGGGCTGGAGTAATGTTACCTGCCAATTAGCTGTTGCTCTATCATATTAATGCGCTGGCAGTTGTCATATCCCAACAAATAGGCTAATGAAAAAGAACGATTAGGGGATTAAGAAGTGCGGGATAGGGATGGAAAGACATACTGAGTCTCTTCTTTATCCATTCTAAAGAAAGAATCTGGCCAATGTTTCAGAAAGTGTTTTTGTTTTTTTTTTCCACTGGTATCAAACATTTCTTGGTATCCTTTTAATTTGTTTCCATTTTTTTCTTCTCTCGCTTTCTCTAACTTTAAACCCCATAAAAAACCCACACGTACTCCACTTGGAAGTCCTGTTTTCAGCTTTGGCAGAATAATTCTCCCTAATCCTTACTTTATATTTCTTAACTCTGTCTCTCAGTATAAAAGATGAGTAGTGTCAAGCTTGATTTTTTTGTTGTTGTTGTTTAAAAGAAACCCTGTATCCACTTTTCACATGGTGTCTTATATTGAGGCTTTCGAACTCAATGCAAAACATACTGCCAGTACATACTGGCATTGCATTTTTTAGGGTAAGTGACTCTTCAAATGAGATTATTGTGAAATAATATTCAGTGCTACCATTAGATCTTGGGTGATGGGAGTTAATAAGCCAGTTTTTCTTTCTTTCTGTTCTCTGTTATTTTTCAGTTATGCTGTAAAACCAAGTTAGCAGACCTTCTGCACCTGACTGCTTTCTAAAGAGACATAATTAATGAATCACATGGTTTATTCATATTTTATTTGAAAGAGGACTTTTAGGCTGTCTTGCAGTGTTGATGTTTAAGAAATCATGATGGATATTAGAAAAGTGTTTGATTTTCTACAGGCAAGGCCGTGCAGTATTTTTCAGCCTGACTGAACTGAACCAAGACAGACCAGATGTTTTGAGAGCCTTTCATTACACAGATTGAATCCTACAGTTCCACAAGGCCCGGGCAAACGTCCATTCTTCATGTGCTTAAGTGAGATAGACTTCTCAACCTTCTGATATTCTTCCTATTCCTTCTTATAATCTGATTATCCACCAACACAAGTATTTTTCTTTCTGTTCATTAAAATGTTCTTCAAACAGATGAAGGCCACAGTGAACAGCAGTAACCTTTAATAACAGCTGGGCTAAATATACTCTTGTTCAGAAATGGAATTTAATTTGAATATTTTCTTGAGACTTAAAGTATGTTTTCGGCCTTTTAACAGCCTGAATATGTCAGGCTTCTTCATGTGTCATCAGTTGCTCAATTTATGCGTGTAGGCTTCAGTGGGTCAAAAAGCTGCCTAGAAAACTGACAGTGCTTGTACCACTGCGGTCACTCAGCAGAGCAGTGTTAGAGGGCTGCTCCCCACAGATCAGACTGTGGTGTCGATGAGGATTACCTAAACCACTCCAGCTATAATTTGACACAAGTCACAGCAGTGTGGGGGATCAGAGGCTAGTTACTTGCCTTCAGTCACTCATGTGTAGGGCTGCTGTTCAGGCTGTGAAATGAAAAGCTGAGAATGGACAGGGCAGGAAAAAGTGAGCCCCTGCAAGGTGTAACATAGTAAAACAATGGTTTGGATCTGATCTAGTATGCTGTGTTATATTTCTGTTCATCAGAGCTCTGAGGAGAGCTGCATGTATTTGCTTTTCGGTCCATGCTGAGCCTGCATTCTTACAAGAAAAAGATGTGTCTGTGGGCTGACAACTCTCAGGGAAAGGTACAAAAATGAAATGACGTTTAGGGAAGGAAGGTACTCACAGTTCAGATGAAGTGCAGTGTGCCCAGAGGTGTTGATTAAGACGAATGGACTTCAGGACAGTTCCTGGAACCTCCATCATTGCACTGCCACAGCGAGCAAGCGGCATGTCGTGTCAATTGACTGCTGATGCATTTTCTCCTCACAAAGTCACTTTCATCTGATACTGCCAGTGGTTGCTGCTGCTGGTGTGGTTTTAAATAATTATTTTGGTCACAGGTGAGCCCTGTGGCACAGACTAAGGTCAGAAAGAAGTATGTTGATATTGTTCGAAGGAAAAGAGTGGTACAGAGGGTATCTGGACCAGATTCCTAGCTAAAATGCAGACCCCCCTGTGTGAGATTATAAGAGTTTCTTTCTTCTTGTTCTCCTTGTTTCTGTGTTATTTATAATCTGCAGTAGCCCTATTATATTCTGCAATAGCCCTAGCACCACCAGCTAGTCAGCACCCCCTTCCATCACCTGAGTGGCTGTTCCTTTCTTGTATCTGCTTGCCTGTGCAGGCTATCTAGAGTCGGTTGTGGGTTTTGTTTTTTGTTTTTGTTTTGTTTTGTTCTTTTCCCCTCCAAAAAACTTAGCTTCTGCTTAAAACAGTAGACTTTCCAACCAGGATCATTTTGATGGAGCCAGGATAGGCAGAAGTCCTAGAACAACTCTGCTCAAAGACCTGAGGGGCCAGTAACCTTTGGCAGTGGAGTGAAGAGAGCTGACAAGCAGCTTGAAGTGACGCCCCATTCACCTCCTGCACAGCTGTAGTCAAAATGGTGTTTGTGGTCCTAACCTAGGGGACTGTCTCTGATTGGGAAAGTGAACAGTCAAGGTTAGCAGAGATGAGAAAAAGGACATCTTCGCAAAGGTGTTGTGTAAAAAAATCATTCGTTATACAGGGAAGGAAAACAAGGTGGGCTTGCCTTTCTCCTGTGCTAGGTAGCAAATGCTGAACCTCACTCACTTCCATTTGCCTTTGCTTCAGTGTGCCATAAGGAATTAGACCCCTATTCTAATGACAAAGGATTTATCCAGTAGCCCGGTTTGCTCTGTTTGCTAAACACATGAGCACTCTTGTTCCCAGTTACACAGTGCAACTTTTTTACTTTGTTTCTGTGTGCTTTTTTGGTTTACTGAGACAGTCATCATCCCTGTGCATCTTTCTTGTGCACATACTTGATTGTTGCTGTGAGACAGGTAGCTTGTCCTGAAGCTGTAGAAGATGCTGAAAATAAAATGCACTTGCAGGTCTAGGGGGAAACTTTTGTAAATTCAACCATCATAGTCTGTCCTT